AAACTCCATTTCTKCTCTGAACACCCACCAGGACATTCAGGTTTCCCTTCCTGCAGATGTCAGTGGATTGAATGAATGAATAAATGAATGAATTCTTTCTCTAAGTTCTTCCTTTGAGTCACTCCAAAATCCCTGTTCTGCCTGGAGGGAGATTCCTGGAAAGAGTTTGGGTGTCATTGCCAGGAAATTCATTCTCCTGCCCTCCTCCACTGCTATATCAACTTGAGGAAGATTTTTTGGGGTGTTTAGCATGGATTTGGAGCTCTGAACTGTCCTACACCTGGGGAGGAGAGCCCCATGAACCAAATGCATCTCATTTTCCCCAAACACATCTCATTTTCCCCAAACCCAGCTCATTTTCCCCAAACCCAGCTCATTTTTCCCAAACCCATCTCATTTTCCCCGCTTTGGATTCGGGGTCTCAGCCATCCCAGCCAACCTCAGCCCTCCTGGGATATTTTTGATTTGGAGGAGTCTGATCTTTTACTGCACTTTCCTAAAAGCAATAAAACCTCAGAGCTGCAGCTCTGAGAGGAGGAAATCTCAAACGAGCTTTAAGCATTCATACATTTTTATATTAAAAATTGGATGATTTTAATCAATCCCAAGAGCCTCAGCTTCTCTTTGCTCCCAGTCTCACTCAGCCAGGAGAGAACAAAGCTGGTGACCAGTTAAACAATGAATTTCTCCTGTTCTTTACTCCTGAGTTCTGAGCACAAAAGTCATATTTTAAACCCTGGAAATTATTTCTTTAGCAGCATCTGGCTCCTTGGCTTTCACAGCTCCAAAGCTGAAGCTGTTTTCCTTAAATTAAGATGCAGAGTAAACCACAAACTGACATTTTTGTTTTCTCCAAAAAAATCTTTTTGTTTTTCTCAAAAAACATCAACATTTTCTGCAAAAAGCGAATGGCAAACAGAAGGGAGTGTCTCAAACAACCCTGGTATCTGGGTTTTATCATTTTTTGGAAGGTGTTTGGGAAAGCTGGAGGCTGAAGACCTTCAGAACTGAAAGGGAAATTTGCCTGAGGACAGYGTGGGCTGGATGTGGGATTTGGCTCTGCAAAGAGAGAAAACCACGCTCAGATAAATTCTCAAATATGTTTTATTAACTTGGTACTCGCTGGGGGAAGTTCAGGCTGTTTGGAGGGAAATGTGTGCAGTACCAATTGCAGTGGTTCCATTGATCTCTGCAGCAGATCTTTAAATTCAGTTGGAGTGGGGACAAAATAAAATACAGGATTGAGTTGTTCTGTCCCAGCAGGGAATGTTTAAAGTGAGGAGAACACCTTCCATCCTGGGCTGCTCCACTGGTGAGGAGGAGCAGTGATCTCATGACTTTTGTGACAATTTTGAAGTTGTTTTGCATGTGTGGAATTTATTATCACCCCTGTTTTCATCAGAAACACAAATACTACCACAGCTTGTGTGGTTGACAGTCAGCAATTATTTTTATATTTTGTCTAAGTGAAGTAAATCTGAAATTCAGTAAAATCGGAAAAATTTAAGCTTTTTCTTTTCCTGTACACCTTTTAAATGAGTAACTACATATTTATGAAAGTTTGACAGGGGATGAAGAATAATCTTGTGGTTCTGTTACGGAAGTAAAGAATGGAAAATTGGGTACATTTGCATTTCTTTACACAAAATTGTTCTTTGTTGTAGTAGGCCCTGATACAGCCTTAGGACCTCACAGCTCRTCTGCAGAACTCCTTTAAGGGTTTTTTCTAATGGAAAATATAATCCTCCATTTCTCCAAAAATGCTTTTACACTTGCACTTTTGCTTTTTCTGCTTCTTAATGATCACAAAAATAGCAGCTCAGGTAGGGAAAATAAAATCCTTTCACCATCCATAGGGAGTTTAAAAAAAGTTCATCTCATTTTCTGCCTAAYGCCTCGTTAAACCTTCATAGGTTGGCATTAATGACTGAAAATGGTCCTTTTCACCTTAATCAGCAGCACAGGCTCTGGCACTGACAGATCACAGATTTATGGGGTGGTAAAAAASRGWATTAACAACCTGCATAGAAMAAAAAATACCACATCCTTAACTACTTTTGAGAAAAAGAAATTAAAATATAAAATTAATAGYACAAGTAACTAACAATTATAAACAGCAGCATTCTTCTTGCAGCATTCTTCTTCCATATAAGCTGTTAACACTCCCTTTCTTTTCCTAAGACTCAGTCMYACACAATAATTAGCTGAGTTTCAGAATCAAAGCTTGTGAGACCACTTTTTTTCCCCACAGAAATGGGTTCATTTGTGCCCAACAGAGGCAGGGATGGTGCCAGGGGGGCAGGATGGGGTTCAGTGGCACTGGAGAGAGGGGAAAAATCTGCAGAATTTGGGGAGATGCCTCCGTGTTCTGCTGCTTCCATCTGCTGGAGTGCGGCAGGAATCCTKCCTGAGCCCTCTGAGAGCATCCAGAGCTGCCTGGATCCRTCAMTTCTGCAAAYTCATTGTKGATTTTTTAATGTTTCTGCTCCATTTTGGGGTTTTTTTAGTAGTTCCACCTGGTGTCAGCGTGTACAACCCTCTCCTGGTGCTCTATGGCTGCTCTCTATAATCCTGTCTCATCTTGGAGATTAATGAATAATATTCTGATTTTTCAGAGCTCTGTAGGGTGWGGATGCCTGGGTGCTGTTCATCTTTATAGGGATGCTGAAACCCCTGTCTGGTAGAAAGCAGTCAAACTGCAGAGCTAAATATTTGCCAATTCAAGGTATTTTCAAAGAAAAATAGCTAAAGGTCTGGGATATTGAGTGCCCAGAAGTTTTTATCTTACTTAATTACTCTGTTTTGCATTAAGTTGTACTTACAAAAATGGAATGCTGTGTTAACACAGCAGAGAATTCACTTTTTAATATTAAAATAACACAAATTTTAATCGAGCACAATGAAAATAATACAAATTTTAATCCTTTATCACCGCTGAACGAGTGCTTCCCCACTGCCTTCCCTGTGCCACTTTCCCCCCTCGTGACTCTGATGGATTTTGGAAAGGGAAGCAGGTTTTCCTTTCAGATTTCACGATTCATCTACGCCAAGTTGAATGCAAAGTTCAATTCTCTTGCAAATAGCAGCCATCCTTTGGCAGTTCATCTGGCAGATCCTGGCTGGGCTCCCTGTGTTTACTACAGAGCGGGGCTGCCAGCTCTGCTTTGGGAATTATTGAAAGTTTACATTGATGAAAAGGGGATATCTGAAGAAAATTTACAGGAGCTTTGCCTTTAGCAAAAAAAAAAAGAAAAAAAAAATGCTAAAGACAACGTGATTTCCTCTCTGATGCACATAAATTCATTAATGCATATTTACCACAGGGAAGTGTGAACCTGCATTAGCAACTGATCAAATAATTGCTGTTAATATAAGTAATTACAGAAGCAATGTGGTAATTATTATTAATATGATTGCTGATAATCAAAGTGCAAGCTATGGATTCAAGGGTAGCTCTAAGTGCATGAGAAATTCACGTTCATGTGGGAATAAGATGGGAAAGTTTTGTCGCCTGTGATGGGTGGGTTGGCTTTSTCTAGATGTTCTTGGACTTGCTTCCTAAATAATATTCTCAATTTACCAAGGGAAAAAACCCAAAAAGCATAGGATTGAAACCGAAAATAGGATAAAATACTGATGAAGGGTGTTGTCTCTTATGTGGTAGTTTTAAATGGTTTTTAGGACATTCTGGTAAAGTGATCTTCAAAGAGAAATTTCCTGCAAAGTTTCCAGTTCAGGAGTAGTTTTGATGTTATTTTCCATTGTTCTCTCCTCTTTATGCATGACTTTGTGTGTGCATACAGAATAATAACTAATAATAGTCAGAACACACTTGCTGTTCCTTGCAAACATTAATTCATTAAAATCATTCCTTTGAAACTCCCCACAGCAGGAATTTTCACGCAAGGACAGAAAACTCAGATTCAGTACAGAAAGCAAATGATAATTCAAATTATATACATAGAGTCCTGCAGGGCCAACGCCAAAGTTTRATCMAAATTTATKTATTTATTTATTTATTTKRTTYATRTSGCTGGCTTTCTRAGAATGCTTTTCCTGGGATTTTGTAGGGTTTTGTGGTCAGATGTGAGCCTTCACTTGTGTTGGTTTTCAGTGACTGTGGAATAGTTTTCCTTACCCGTCACAACACTTTTCAGCCCCACACCCCTCCGCTTAATTTAATTATTGTTTGGAATGAAATTATTGGGCAGTGTTACATAATTTCAGTATAATATACAAGTTCAGTGTATTTAGTAGATATCCACTATAATAATTTCCATTGTTGGGAATGAAATTCCATTGTCCATTTCCATCCCATTGTTTGGAATGAAATTATTGGGTAGCGTTATATAATTCCAGTATAATATACAGGATCAATGTATTTAATAGACATCAATAKAATAATTTCCTGTGGTTCCTTCCCCTCTATACCTCACAAATACCACTTGTATCAGATGTTAAACACAACTTTAAAATTCTGTYTCATTCTTAGGAGCTGTGGTGAGAAGTGCTCACCAGGGCAGTGCTGAAGTGGAGATATTTATAATTCAACAATCTYATTCTGTCATCTAAACAAAACAATTCAGGGAAGAATCAGCTTCCCAACTGTGGTTTAAATTGTTTGGGAGGCACCCTGTCCCAGGCCCAATGAAGAACCCTTCTGTTCCCATGACCCTGAGCCACAGGGCCCGCTGCTGGATCTTAATTAAATAATGGAACAGATGTTCTGGCTGTTTGTGGGTTTACAAAATAATTACAGATGCAGTTTGCATCTCGTATCTCAGGCAGAATTATTGAAATAGTKTCAATTTGATAATGTAAAGTTTTTACTCCTAAGGCATCAAGGTACCAATGCAGGTACCACTGCGAGGTTGTGAAATGCGCTTTTTTGCAGCGTAATTTGCAGAGCTGGGAAACTTCTGGTGGTTGAAGCAATAAATTCAAGGTGTGTCGATGGGATTTTTGGTGGTCTGAGAATCCCTGTCTGCCTCTCCCTACAGGACCCCAGGAGCAAGCACAAGTTCAAGATCCACACCTACGGCAGCCCCACATTCTGTGACCATTGCGGCTCGCTGCTCTACGGGCTGCTGCACCAGGGGATGAAATGTGACAGTAAGTGACACTTTCCTCCACTCCCACCTTGCACTGGAAGCCCTGGGTAGCRGCTCTTGCTTCGTTTCTGCGGAAAATACCATTCCAAATGTCAGCTATTTATAGCCCCGCTCGATTTCAAGAGGATATTTCAGCTCTGTAATAATCTGCTGATGAAAATCGTCTCTTCTGCTGAGAGCACGGTGTGTTCAGCGTGGAGGGGCTCAAGGGCCTTTGCTGTGGCAATTTTGAGAAAGGCTCTTTTTGGGCTGTCTGGGTGAACAGACTCCTAAAGAATGGAATTGCAGTTCACTTTGTAGCTAAGGTCTAGCATTTTCCTTGTGTTTAATTTGTCTCCCAGGTCTCCCACTAGGAAAACCAAATAATCAATTTAAACCTGCCTCCCTCCATYGCTGACGTGAATGCTCTGTGTTCTTAGTCATATTCCCAGCAAGCCTTTTTTCCATTTTCACACTTTTTTCCCCCTTGCACTTCATTAATTATATGTTTCAGTTTCTGAAGTAGACAGTTTATTTTATTTTATTTTATTTTATTTTATTTTATTTTATTTTATTTTATTTTATTTTATTTTATTTTATTTCATTTTATTTATTTTCTGTCATATTAGCTCTTTACAGAATTTATTTCAAGATAGAAACCAGCTTGCAAATCTGAAAATCCTACCAATAATGAAACATTTCATCTTAATTTTAATTTTATCTTAATTTTCACTTTCACCTCTTTTTGCAATCATGATTTTTAGCTTCTCACAGGTGTCTGAACCATTTTTATGCCCACAGCCTGTGACATGAACGTTCACAAGCAGTGTGTGATCAACGTCCCKAGCCTCTGTGGCATGGACCACACGGAGAAAAGGGGGAGGATTTATCTGAAAGCTGAAGTCACYGGTGACAAACTGGAAGTGACAGGTAAACAGCTCATTTTGGGGTGTTTCAGGTTTTTTAAATGTGAGGTTGTGTGCCTTGGTCAGATCTTCGTGYATTAAAGCTGCTGATGGGGAATTTCCTTCCAGAAATTGGAGGATTTTATACAATTTCTTTGGATCAAGAAATTCTCTGAACTGGAGTTGGTAAAAACAAACAGAAAACAAGAAAACCATAGTAACAGCCTTAAAACCTGGGGAGTATCAGTTAGAAAATCAGTTTTCCTGGTCCAAAGCAGCCCAGMAGGATGAGCTGCTSTTYAGGAAGTCACCCATCATCTTCAGARCAYGAGGGATACTCTCAGCTTTCACCAGCTGAGGAGATGTTTCCTGGATTTCAGAGCATGGAATAAACAAAGGCAATTGGGATTCAAGCACAAATATAACACCCAGTGAGCTTTAAAATTTAAATTGTATAAGCTGAGGGGTAACAAACTCGGGAGAGGAGGCAGAGGAAGGGAAGGGAGGAAGG